CTTGCAACCATCCAAATGCTGAGTTCACACTTTTGTCTGGAGCACTCCTAGATTCAGAAAAGAATATATATATTAAAGCTAACTCTGTTTAACACCCAATAAGGCATTGTTCTGAGAAGGAGACACTTTGACTTCCAACTTGAAACAATAGAGTCATTTTACTTTTGGTTGTATTTTGATCTACATTTTAAAAATTTAATTACATCTGATAATCTGTGAAGGCAGTATGTACGTAAACAACTATTTTCTGTTTTAAAGAAGAGGCCACATCAACTGCTGTATCAAAACACGGTTATTTCTGTTAGATCGCCGCTAACAAAGAACCGGAGAGTGATTTCAACAAAAGTGATCAGCTTTATTGTAGGTACGAACAAGCGCTTGAAAGAAGTCATAACCAGAACAACTTAACATTGGGAGCTAGGCTCCTTTTAAACATTCTCGGGCTAACGTAGCCACGCCTATTTACAATAAACAACCAATGAGGTTGTGCGATAACGTCCAATGAAAGTTCTTCCCTCGCAGGGAATTGGAACAGTCCTGATTGGTCGCTGTTGTGGAGCGACCAATAGCAAGTTGGCTCGGAGGAGCCTTCCTCTGGCTCGAGCTTATCATGAAGAGTTAATGCGGCGATTCCTGCAAGCCTTTTTCAAATACACCACAATTTCCTTAACTGCTAAAGAATAAACAATAAGGATTTGTTTTTTGCAGTTTTAATGTCAGAAAGCAGAGGAAGAATTTAAAAAACCTACAACTGAAGCATTATCACAGTTACCCAGCTATAGTTCTACTGCCAGTTATGACATAACATGGGTCAAGCTTTCTGAAGAAAGTTGGCAGAACCAAGCAACACACAAAACCCAGGAGACAGCCCTGCCCAAGAGCAGCAGGAAGCCCCACACAAGTTTGCATCATAGCATAAATTCTTGTTATGCTGCCGTGCGCTTCTTTCACTAAAGACTTGCTAATAAGATGGTGGGAAGGTAACAAAGATCATTTCTTCAGACATTCTTAGTATATTAATTCCACTTCTTTTCAACCAGCCAGACCCTACTATACTTGCATAAAAGGATAATGCTTTATTTTCCAATTAGAAATAGACAGAATCCTCTATCTGGCCCTTTCCCCATCTTGAATGTAGTCCAGGGTTCCCCAACATGGCGCCCATGAGTACCATGACACCCACCAGTATTTCCCCAGGTTCCTGCTAAACTTTCAGAAAGGGGCCAGGGCTTGTTACTGGCTGTTACTGTAGAGCTTGTTACTGGCTGTCCTCAATTAAACAAAAGGACTTTCCACAGTGGCAGTATCAGCCACAGCCTCTGGAGAATCAGGAGGACTAGCAAGCACCGAGGCTTCTGATTCCATTCCCCCTTCAGGCTTTCTTTTTCTATACTTCCCCTTTCTCTTTTTCCCTTCCTCCCACTCAGGCTTTCCTTATTTTCTTTTTATTCCCCAATAATTCTTCCTCAAAGCAAGGAGGGAGGTATTGGCTCTGCCCCCCGCAGTGGCCAATTTGGGTTTGGAGCTCACTACCGCCTCTCAAAATTCCAAAGATGCCCACAGGCTCAAAAAGGTTGGGGAATTCTGCCCTGGATAGCCCAGGCAAGCCTGATCTCATCAGATCTCGGAAGTTAAGCAGGGCCGACTCTGGCAAGTACTTGGAAAGGCGACCTCCCAGGAATACCAGAAGTGGGACAGAGAGGCAGGCTACTCAAGCCACCTCTCTGAAAGACACCCAAGCCCCCAGTAGGCGTCACCAGAAGCCACCATGGCTTCCAGGCAAGCACACAAAACATACAAAAATAAAATTTTCAAAAAATTTAAAGGTTGGGGAACCCTAATCTAGCCCATTCCTGTTTTAATGGAGGCTCACTGATTACCAAGAATTATTGGAATACTTACATTTTTTCAGTTGCCCTTTGTCAAAAAACACCCAATATTATAGCTCCCTAGTCATGGGAATGCCAGTTGTGCTGTGTCACAAGTTTCTATACACATAACTACACATGTTATTTTTTGTAAAGGGTCAATTTGGCAAATTCGTAAATCCTTTTCCTTCTGTGTCCTCTTCTCAACTCTGCTTTTTTGGTTGCCTAAAAGCCTTTCCCAAGGATACAGTTTAACCATAGAGACTGAACAATCACCAGTGAACAACCAAGATGACATGGACTCAGTAAGTATGTCTGTGTGCACAGAGAGAAGAGAATCATTGTTTCCCTGCTCTAAATCTAGCTAATCAGGGCACGTGTCTCAAAGCCCCCTTGGCCACTAGAAGGCTTTGGGTGAAGGTCAAGACAGAGCAAAATGCACAAGACTGGGGAGTGACTCCTCACTGCCCAGAGTAACACGCCACCACCAGTCCTTCTAAACTAACAGTCAGCTGCGACACCAAGGGACAAAGTCTCCAGCTCTACCTGCTGTTAAGCAAAAAGTCATCCCTGCAAGGTAGGACACTTGCAAGTTGAGTTCCATGAACAACTACTTGGTAGCTGTAGCCAAAATAGGCCAAGGTACTGGGGTTAGATTGAAGACCCAAAGTCCACATAGCACCATATGAATATAATTAACAAGATTTATTAAAATAAATGTGCAGCAATATACAAATATAGAAGCAACGCAAAGCAGGGAAGAAATGATAAAAATAATAACTACCCTAGGATACTTATTCAGCCTTTAATCTTCTGATCCAGATGTTACCGGGTCAGACTGAAAGTACAGGGTACAGACAGAACTCCTAAATCCAAAATCCAAAAAGCAGGTACTTCAGTTGCACAAGGTCCGACCCACAGTCAAAAGGATGGCAAGAAGGAAAGCAGGCCCAAAGGGAGGACGGTCTAAACTAGAATGAATGGTCCTGCTTTACGCCAGACTGCCCACAGCTGGCCTGATCTTGTTTGACCAAGTATGTATGTTCAACACATGACTAGTTACATCTGCAGCCAGCATGTACCCATCATCAAGCAACTTACCCACAAGCAGGGTTCCCTGCACTAATGAGATGGAATCTAAGTGCGAGCCCCCCTTTGGGTCCTTGCCCTTGAAGCTCCCAGGCCCATGATCTCACTCGCACTTGTGTTTGACTCCATTACATCCCTTACCTTTCTTGAAACTACAAATCATTGTGACATTGATTTCCCAGAGAGGAGCCTTCGGTAACCTGACTAGTCCAAATGCCTGACCAAAATCTGAAAGGCCAAGAAATGGCTGGACAAAGCCAGTTCCTTGGTAACATGGAGCAGAAATTTGTTAATGCTAAGCTAGTCTTGAGTAAGTCAGTGAGTACATAGCCCTTTGAGCTCCAAGAAGAAAGGGTTAAAAAGGCCACAGGAAGCTGTAAAAAAAGCACTTACAGTGGTGTCCCAGTAACACTTCCAATTAGGCATATTACAAATGCTTTTTTAACATTTAGCTATGTCAATGTGAGTACCTGACCAATTTTAGTCAACTTTCCCTGGTCTGCTCTACTCTTTGGAGACTGTAGGATCTCTAACCACGACACTATATTTTTTGTTGTTGTTGAAAAACCCTGCACCGCATACCAACCCAGCTGCCCACCATGAAAAATCAGAAATACCTTTTAAAATTATACATCAAACACTTACTGCCTGAGCAAGGATTTTCAAAGTGCAACAACTTTCTGATATAAAGACTGGACCACCTGAGTATGTGGATATATAAAGTGAACAGAACAGCCCCTTCCCTAATTCCACCAGCACTTTATAATACTGCAACTCTGTCCTTTATTAGCATCTTTATTTCCTTTATTTTACATAGCAGGCCAGTGTTCTCATTAATTCCAACATTTCACAGTCCAAAACATAACTCTATCCTAATATCAAAAATCCCCATCCTCCTTGCAACTGCTTGGAATGTTCCAATACCCTGCCAGCCAACAGGTCACACCACCTCTTACTCTTATCTCAAACTTGTTTCCTTTTCACATCACAAAGATCTTGATTCTTTCTGCACCTAAATACTTCAAATTCCTATCTCCCACTCAACTCCAGAGCTCTGTACCCTGGGCTCCCATACACACACAATGCCCCAACCACCAGTTCCTCAAACTTCCCCTTCCACTTCTTCAGTTCCATTTCTCTCCAATCTCTATAATGGAGCATGACTCTATTTGTTTCCTCCTGGGAAAAACAGTACAAATAGAATGGAGGAGAGAAGAAGGTTGTAAGACACTTTGGGTACTCACTGAGGGGGAATAGCACAGTAAAAATGAAAAAAATAAATAAGGCATGGCATCAACCCAGTACAGGGAGAGAAATTCTATTAGTGAAACCTTTCCATCACTGTATTTCCATTCTCGGATAAGATGTCATTTGTCCAACTGCTGGATAAAGGCCTAGGATCCATGCCAAGAAAAAAGTGGCAATCCTAGCTATTTCCCCTAGACTTTGTGCTGTCCACCCACATTAAGCTTCCTTCCTTTATGTACATCTGCCCTTCTCTTGTTGCCAGTATGCCTTGTTCCAGAAACCTCCACCAGAAAGCCGCAAAGCCCAGTTCTTTTCCACCCTGCTCCTTTGCCATTTCCTCTCCATATCTCAGGCAAAACCTTTTTTTGACCGGCTATAATGCAGGCTGCACCCTTTCCCTTCCATACCTCACCAGACAGATTCCACTCTGTTACCACAAATGACCTCCTTCCCGATAGTTTTTGTTTCTTGCCATCAAGCGCCCCCCCCCCGAGTCTCCAAGGCCCGCCACGCCCCCACTCGCTTCCCCCGCCTTGCCTCATACGCCGCAGCCCACCTTATCACCAGAACCCTGCCAGGCTCAGCCTCCCTCTCCTCTTTCCAGGAGCCCCATTCCCCCTTCCGCGCCTCGCAACAGCGCGGCCGGCCCGCCGGAGGAAGCCCCTCCGCCTTCCGGCTCCTGCCTCTTCCGAGCCCCCTTCCCTCTATTCCTGCCCGCCTTCCTTCCTAGCCTCCCTGCGCCTTCAGGCCGTCTCCTCCTTTGTCGAGAGACTCGGTGGGAGCAGCGGCCATTACCAGGAATGAGCTGCAAGTGGTTCCCCATGTTGTTCTCCTGTTCTCCGCCTCCTTCGTCTGCGGCCATCGCTGTTTACCCGGAGAGGAGCCTGGGAAGGCGCCGCCTGGGGAGGGAGGAGAAGGAGGCGGCACTTTGAAGCGCTCCAACCCGGCTGGGGCTCCCGCCCCGCAGCGGCTCCTAGTGGCCGGAGAGACTCTTCTTCATCGGTTCTTCTCGGGACGTGAATCGCGTGGGAGAGGGAAAGTTTTCTGTTCACCGTTCCGCGCTTTTTAATACCTGCCTCACAGGCAGACATGCAGCCAGGAAAGCCTTCCTCCCTGTGCCGATTCTCCACATCAGGCAGTCTAGGGAATTCCTGGCCATTGCGTGCGCCTCTCAGAAGGCACTGGAGCCTTCTTGAACATTGGACATTTTGGGTCCCGCCCCCCCCCCCCCCATTTTTTGAGGCACAGGAACTGTTGTAATAGTTAACACCTCACAACAGAACTGAAAGCTAAGGACATTCTGTAGAACTCTGTAGATAAAGTCGGGGCAATCCTGTCCTTCCTTTTAGTACATCCCTGGAATGACAGCCCCTGGAGGTAGCAGGAGTGTTCTGGGACTGGAATGACAAGGCCCCACAGTGGAATGACAGCCTCTGGGGGTGGCAGGAGTGTTCTGGGACTGGAATGACAGGCCCCAGTGTGGAATGACAGCCCCTGAGTGTTAGCAAATGTGTTCTGGTACTGGAATGACAGGCCCCACAGTGGAATGACAGCCTCTGGGGGTGGCAGGAGTGTTCTGGGACTGGAACGACAGGCCCCAGGGTGTAGCAGGAGTATCCTGGGAGTGGAATGACAGCCCCTGGGGGTAGCAGGAGTGTTCTGGGACTGGAATGACAGGCCCCACAGTGGAATGACAGCCTCTGGGGGTGGCAGGAGTGTTCTGGGACTCCCAGGGTGGAATGACAGCCCCTGGGTGTAGCAGGAGTGTCCTAGGAGTGGAATGACAGCCCCCGGGGGTGGCAGAAGTGTTCTGGGACTGGAATGACAGGCCCCAGAGTGGAATGACAGCCCCTTGGGGTAGCAGGAGTCTTCTGGGACTGGAATGACAGCCCCTGGGGGTAGCAGGAGTGTTCTGGGACTGGAATGACAGGCCCCAGAGTGGAATGACAGCCCCTTGGGGTAGCAGGAGTCTTCTGGGACTGGAATGACAGCCCCAAAAGTGGAATGACACCCACTGGGGCTAGTCATTCCAGTCCCAGGACACATCTCCTACCCCCCAGGGTCTGTCATTCCACTCTGGGGCCTGTCATTCCAGTCCCAGGACACTCCTGCCGCCCCCAGGGGCTGTCATTCCACTCTGGAGCCTGTCATTCTAGTCCCAGAACATTCCTGTGTCATTCACACCCTGGGGCTGTCATTCTAGTCCCAGAACACTCCTGCTACCCCCAGGGGCTGTCATTCCAGTCCCAGAGCACTCCTGCTACCCCCAGGGGCTGTCATTCAACTCTGAGGCCTGTCATTCTACCCTCAGAACACATCTGCTACTCCCAGGGGCTGTCATTCAACTCTGGGGCCTGTCATTCCAGTCCCAGAACACTCCTGCTACCCCCAGGGGCTGTCATTCCACTCTGGGGCCTGTCATAATGGAAAATCCATTCCACATTTTCTTTGCAACTCTTCTTGAACTGTAATGTATTTCAATGGAGCCCATGCTAGTCAATTGCCATTCCTGGCTCCCATTATTTCCAATGGGCCTTCAATCCATTCACCTGCTATTTCCATTTGAGATCTGAAGTCACCTTTATAAAGTTTATATCTCCGGTACCTCGTGTTACACTTTATGGCACGCATGGCCTGGCCCAACAAAGTGACATTTATGTCAGATCCGACCCTCGTAACAAATGAGTTTAACACCTCTGGTGTAGCAGTTTGGAGCATGGACTCTAATCTGGGAGAACCGGGTTTCAGGGTTCTTTTTGTAGCAGGAACTCCTTTTCATATTAGGCGATCCCCTGTGTAAGAAGAGCTCTGTAAGCTCTTGGAGGATTGGCTACATTAGGGGTGTGTTGCCTAATATGCAAAGGAGTTCCTGCTACAAAAAGAGCCCCCACTCCCTCACATGCACCCAACTGGGTGACCTTGGGTCAGTCATAAGTTCTTTCAGAGCTGTTCTCTCAAGGGCAGCTCTCGAGAGAGCTCTCTCAGCCCCACCTACCTCACAGGGTGTCCATTGGGAGCGGAAAGGAAAGGGATTGTAAGCCGCTCTGAGACTCCTTCAGGTAGTGAAAGGCGGGGTATAAATCCAATCTCCTCTTCTCTTGTACAGTGAAAATTTAGAGCAGGGGATTCCCAACATTTTTTGAGCTTGAGGACATCACTGGAATTCTGACACTGGTTGGTGGGCACAACCACAAAATGGCCGCCTCAGGAGGCAGAGCCAGCCACAAAAATTGGGGAGTGAGGTTATGGATAACTCTAATAGTACATCATCTTCAACATTTCAGGTAGAAGCTCTGTTTAACAGGATGCCTTTTAAAAATGAATATAATGTTTAAAAATATTTGCTTGCACGCAGCTTATCTTCAGTCTCACAGTGAAGATCTTTGTGCAGTGGGGGGTAGCTGCTGCTAAAGTAATTTAAAAACAACAACTCTGCACAGCCACTCAGAAGATCTGCCGGCAAAAGCCCCGCCTGGCCCCACCCACTTTCTAAAAACACTTGGTGGGTGCCAGGAAAGGTGTTGGCAAGCGCCATGGCACCCATGGGCACCACACTGAGGGCCACTAGCTTAGATTAGCGCCTTCTTTGCTGTCATGAATAAAGCTTGGGATGCCCTCCCTAGCAAGGCCTGCATTAAGCTATCTTCACTGAATTTTAGGGAAATGTTGAGAAATCTACTTGCTTCATCCAGCTGCTGGATAGCGTTTCAGTGGGTGCTAGTTACTCCTAGATTATATAGTTGTAATTCACTATTCAGAGGTTAAAAAAAACAACGGGGATAGATTTGGTGGTCTGGTTGGAAAAGCTTAGTGGTTGCTATGTGGACATGTGGCTCACTTGTTGGGCCAAGGGCTAGGGTAGCGCTTAGAAGCAGAGCACCAGAAGGTGTGGCAGGTTTGGTACAAGGCTATGGGGCAGATCCCAGCAGAGCGGCTGTCTAAGGTTATTTATTTATTTGAACTTTTACCCCGCCCTCCCAGCCAGAGTTGGCTCAGGGCGGCTTACAAAAAACAGATAATTACATTAAGAACATAAGTTATTAATAAAACAATTCTAAAACCATAATAAAGTGCTATTCACATCATACCCCTGATGTGAAAAGTGCTAGTAATTTAAAATGTATAGCAAGAAAACAAATGTGAGGGGAGAAAACAGTTCTTTCCCCCCTTGTTCTTCTGGCAACTGACTTAAAAGCAAAAAAACCCCACCAAACAAATCGAGGGGAAATCTACAACCAGGCTGGATTCCCCCCCCCCTCCCTCATTCAGTATATTGGTGATTATTAAGCACTACATAGCCAGGAAAGGGACCGTCTATTTAGGGCTGCCTGCTGTCCAGAATGGTCTTAACCCTTTCAGGATTTCATCTATCTGGTTTGTTACCCAATGAAGAAACTTTAAAACAAGAAAAATTGTGTATGTTCAGCTATCTGTTGCTAGATTTTTATTTTATTTTTTGCAAAGAGATCACAGTGGTATCTGCTCAGAAGTGCTTCGCCTTTGGGAACTTCACTGCTGCCTGGTTTTTCTTGCACATAGAGTTGCCGGTCCCCAGGTAGCAGCTGGAGATCTCCTGATATTACAATTGGGCTGCAGTCACGCAAGCAGCTTAATCTGATATTGTTGCAGTACCCTTGCAGATTTAAAGAGCACAATCGGACAGCAACATCTGCCTTTTGTGCCCCAGTCGTCACCACCCCCTTCTGCCCAATCTTCGAAACAGCGTTAACAGACACCAGGGACAGTCCGGTCTTTACGGATGCCAGCGCTTCCACCCAGCATTTCCGGCTGTCTGAATACCCCGGATGTGAAGTCAAGCCATTTGGGAAGTCTGAACCTTCCCTTCCATTTCTGCCTCCTTTGGTTTGTTTGGTTTTTTTTTTTTAAAATCAGGTGCATAATCGCCCCTGGGGTTGTCAATCACCGTGGCCAAGTAGTCATTCTGGATCGGGAGTCCCCAGGGGAGTTGTTTCCAAGCAATAACCCCCACCACACCCCTCTCTCCTGTTTCTGCATCAGGGTTGCTGTTTGAGAGCATTCCTTGATTGACACAAGGGTAAATACACTGAAGTCCATGGGATTACTCTCATGTAAATCTGCACTTTAACCCACCCACCCCGTATTACAAGGAAGAGAGACGAATCGAAGGTGACTGAGAGGGGGCGGAGTACTTGGCAGAGGGATTGTGGAGCTGTAGAAAAGGAGCTGGAACTTTGGATACACATTTATGCACATCAGTGAAACACACGCACAAAAAAGAATGCCACAACAATCTTAACGATTGACCGTGGGGCGAGTTTGCGGTGAAGCCGGTCCAGGGTGGTATGTCTGATCAAAACTTCCTGTTACAATATAAAATGGTGTAATTAGAGGCGCGGCCAGATCGCGCCAAGCCTGTAGTGTGACCATAGCCTTGATCTCCAGATGACCAAGACCAGTTCCCCTGAAAAAAGCGGCTGCTTTGGAGAGTGGACTGTATGACATTATACCCCGCTGAGGTCCCTCCCTTTCCCAAACCCCACCCTCCCCAGGCTCCACCCCCAAAATCTCCAGGTGTTTCCCAACCCAGAGCTGGCAACCCTTCTTACACATCATGCAACAAGTTCCTATGGCTCAGACTTACAGGGCAACCACCTTGCACCCAATACTTGCATTCAGAAGTTTATGCATGTCATCCGAGAATTACATCCATACGGTGTGCTTATTCTTCTCTCCAGGAACAATGCCACTAGAGTCTGTTTTTTTTTTTTTTTTTGTATAATCAGCAACCTATAGAAAATTTTCACATAACCCTGTGCTCTCAAGAGATACGTTGTTCCTGAAAGGGTAAAGGACATATATCTACACTCTAGTACCAGAGAGCA